ATACCAAGAGATCCTCGGGATACCAAAAGATCCCTAGTATATTTTGAGGATACCAAGAGATCCCCGGTTACCATCCTTGCTATGAGTGGTAGTTCCTTGTGGTTTGCCTTTACCTCTGTTTCCGTTATTGTACTCTTATTATCCTGTATAGACTCCTACTGTAGATTCCCAATTGCACTGCTTATCTTATCTTGTCACTTTAATATTTATTTAATCTCAGTAGGGCCCTGACCTTCCTCGTCACTACTCAACCGAGGTTAGGCTTGGCACTTACTGAGTACCGCTGTGGTGTATCATGCCCTTTCTGCGCATGTTTTTCATGTGCAGATCCAGGTACCTCTACTCAGGCTTACCATTCTTTGAGGCGAGGCGATACTACGGGACTTCGAGGTATATCTGTCGCGCCCACGGACCGAGGAGTCTCTTTCTATTCCTTTATTTAGTATTTAACCCTTCTGTACTTTTGTTCTTGTTAGACATTCCGGAGATTAGAGCTATGTAGTGTTTTCTTAGCTTGTGGATCCGTGAGTTTCCGGATTTTGGGATAGTGTATCATATTTTGAGAAGTTGTGTGTATATGTCGAGCGGCATTTAAATATTATTTCCTTCAGTTATTTTTCGGCTTTTGATTATTTATTTCCGCAAGTTTAGTTTATTTTCCGCATTTGTTAGGCTTACCTAGTCATAGAGACTAGGTGTCGTCACGATAGTTCACGGAGTGCGAACTGGGTCGTGGCAGATAGTAATTAAGTAACGAGCGAAAATTTCTCTTAAAGTCTTTTGACTGAGCTCCTCGACAATTCAAAATTATGAACTGCATTTGATTACTGTGTGTTGTTGGTGTTGGTGGAGTCTGTTGTGGCGCCACTTGGGTCATTGTTGGTCCCTCATTGAGGGTATCAAAACGAGTCCGTATTTTCCTACCTCGGGGTGGTTTGTAGGGCGTAGATTTAGTGAGCAACTTTGAAGCTCCTGGGGGCACATGATGATCACCTTTCTTGCATAATGTTCTTTGAGGTCGTAATATTTGTTGTTGTTGAGGAAGCAAAGGATTGGCCGTGTTTCCCCGATATCCGCCATTTTTGCTGCCACCTCTAGTTGTTCTATTTCATCGAGTCCGTTGGGAGTTTGCTTTGCTTGCTGGGGAGTGTACGTGGAGTGGGTTGGTATGGTGCTGCTTGTGCATGCAAGGGGGATGGTATGTATAGAGATGACCTTTGTTGTATCCATGGGAACAGGGAGTGTGATGGAATCTGTGGTGGATAGAATGGGAGATCCATCGAAGCCGTTTGGTTGTAGTACAGTGGTGGGAGTGGTGTGTGTGTTTGAAAATATTGCATTGATGATGGTGGGTGCATGGCCCATAGACACTGGTTGTATAGTTCCACCCCCATCCTCATGCCTTCCGTTACTATTTGTGCAATGTCTGCTAGATTTTGTAGCAGCAGTATCACCTCCTGCCCTTCCACTTCCATCATGAAGGTTAGTGCATGGTCTTGTAGGCTCATCTCCAGCCAAGATTGAGGGTACGTTTGTGTTGGTGGATACTAGGTAATGTATAGTGGTGGTAAGTGTTGTGGTGGGTTGTTCCAAGGGTGATTTATTTGGCGATTCATTGTTATGGGGTGGTTGAGAAGAGGTGTGTTGGAGTAGGATAGAGTTCTCCTGTGTTGATGATTTAGGCCTAGACGGTTCATGCTGGGTTTGGGTAATTTTGTCAGGCTGTTTGCGTGTAGTAGTGGAGTTAAAATTATGTGTTTGAATTAATGAAGTGGGTTCAGGCGTAGGGTGAATTTGAGTGGTCAGCTCTTGCGGTTGATTTGATGTAGTAATTAATGATTCAAAGCTGGTAGGGGTAAATTCATAGGGGAGGGATTCATGTGACGTGTGTGATAGGTGTTGGGCTGATTGAGGAGTGTTTAAGTTGTGAATAGGCTGTATCGTTGGCTTTGGGCTTGGGGTAGCAGAAGGCTTAGGGCCATCAAGAGCTTGGTTATTTGTTGTCATGGAAATTTGGTTTTGGGCTTGGTCTGACTGTGCTGATGAGCTGGCCTCCATGTCTTTCATGCAGTACACGTGGCTTTGTGTGGCATGTGATATTTTGGACGTGGAAGAAGGTGTTTCTGATTGGTGTCCATTGTATTGAGTAGGCGTGGTTGAGATATTTTAGTTTGGGCTGAGTGTGGTAACATCTGAATTAGGAGTGTTTGATTTGGGCTTTGGACAGGGTGGCATTGGCCCAGAGATAGTTGTGATGGAGTACAACATAGTAAGATCTAGATTTTCCTCAATTAGAGCAAATATTTCGTTATTAAAAAATTTGGGGGGGGGGGGGGGTATTTATGTCTTTTTCTTTAGTAGGGATGTTAGGGGAGGGGAGTGATTCGTTAAAAAACTTACCTGTAGGGCCCATGCTATTTGATTTTTGTGGCCCAGCCGTCTTGACTGCCCGAACTAGATGAATTTGTTGTAATTATAGATGTGATTTGAGTGGATGAATTCCTTTTCCTCGAGATGGGCTAGTGTTCTTGCCTTTTATTGGGAATGAGACTATTTTCCATTCGTTCGTATTAGATACATGTGAAGTTGAGGGTGTGTCTGTGTGGGTTGTGTTCTTTTTTGTTGTGTTGCTTTCTGTTGGAGTAATATTAGAAGTAGATGTATGTGATAACTGATTCGTAGGGTTGTGTGATTGTGTACATAGGTTTTTGTTATGGCCTAGTTTGCCACAGAGTGTACACAGCATTAAGAGTCCTTCGTATAGTATTTGTTGCCGATGATTTCCGATGAACACATGAGATTTTACTGGGCATTCAAGTGGAATTTCAATACAGATACATGCATATCGACCTCTAATTTTCGCTGATGTGCATGTATCTATTTTTAGTAATGTTCCAATTTTTGAACCAACCCGATGCAAGATCTCAAAGTCGCAGAATTCAGTTGGCAATTCTGGTATACGTATCCAAATGGCGAAATAGGTGAGTTGTGCATTGGAAGCTATGTACTTAGGCTCCCATTTACGAACTGATAAAAAGTGGTTAAATATGAACCAAGGTCAACCATGTAGGGCTTTGTTCATGTTTTCTTCCTAATGGAATTTAATTAGGAAGAAGTCATAGCCTAGATCTATGAGGGATATGTCTTCACTAGGCTGCCATAAAGAAACAAGTTTGTTTTTAAGCGTTTGGTGGCCAACTTGACGTCCAAACAGTTGTACAATGAATGAGGATTTTCAAGGTGAGTAGAGGCGAGATTTGTCAGTGGATGTGAGTGGTATAAAGCATTCATGTTGGTGATCATTTTCTGTTTCTTCGGATAAATCTAAAGGTGGTGATGGTTTGTTGGTAGTACTGGATGGTTGTGACATTTGTTGTTGGTTTAGGAGGGTGTCTTTGAAGGATGTTTTGGTATCATAGGAGGTATGTGGCGGTGAATCGATATGCATAGTACTTAGGTCTGGTGGTTCCGGCGGGGAGTTGGTGGGTGCTAGGTCCATGTGGAAGTTGTTTTGTGTAGAAGGTGAATTGTTTGTAGAGAGAAGGAGGAGTTTCTCTTACTAACCCATGACTCAAACGTAAATGAAAAATTCAACTCAAAAGTCAACCTCGGAATCCACCTCAAACCCGACAAAATTCACAATTTCAAAATAGCTATTCGATTACAAGTTCAACTATACCAAAATCATCAAATTTCGACCTCAAATCGACCTTCAAATCCCCATTTTATACTTTAGGAAAGTTTATACTAAAATCCCTAATTTTTTAATCATGATCTATAGCTATGTACTTTTAAGTACGTGGGAGAAATATGGACGGGAGATTTTTTTTTTTTGTTCTTTTTCTTTATTTATGGTCTAGATAGATACGTCTATTTCATGGTCCAAACACTTCAGCTTTTCTAATAGAAAATTTTCATTAACAATTATTTTTCAGTTTGTGTTTTTTTTTATTCATTGGACAGATCAAACCACCTCATATCCAGACAAATATTTTGAAAAAAGAAAAAGAATAATCAATCAACTAGAAAACAAAGGAGGGACACTTACCTAAATCTAAGACTTTGACCTTCCGAATTATTTACTAAACTCAGAACCATGTTATATTTCACCTATTTTAATTTGTGTGACACTTTTTATTTTTCAAGATTTAAATTTTATTAATTTTGATTGTGTATTTAAATATTAAATTTTAAAGTCTTTCGAAATAAAATTTATAGATTTTAAAATTACATGGAAAGTTTATAAATCATAGTAATTAATAATTTGAAATATTTTAAAAGTATATAAAAAATTAGATAAAAAATAACTCGTTTATCTCGAAATATTTCATTATGTGTTACTTTTTGCTTTTCGTGATTTAAATTATGTGAAAATTAATTAACATTAATATATTTTTCTATTATATTGATCGAGAAAAATTATAATTTATTGTAATTTTCATATAATTTTGAATTATCTAAAATTTAATTCTAAACTATTAAGTCAATCTAATTTAATTTAGCCCCAATAATTAGTTAAATTGATTCTCGAAGAGTAAGAAGAGATACTTATTTTAGGATGGAGGGAGTAAGAGTAAAATAGTAGACAGAAAACAAAAATCATCTCAAGAAGCTCAACAGATCAAAACAACTTTTCGTTCATATGTTTGTTGTTTTGTGAGGCTAATTAACTCTATCATTTATGGTCAAAGGTTACATCTTGAAATCTCTGTCAATTATATACATGACAAAGACAGATTTTAATTTCTATACATATACTGTTCATAATATAAGTAGAATCCTAGCCAAAACGAATCCTACTTTGGCTATTACATTCTCCATTACTATGTTCTCATACGTAAAAATATCCATTTTGGCCGGCTTTTGTAGCAAATTTTATTTGTTCTTCGCTGCTTTGGATTGTGGGGCTTACTTCTTAGCCCCAATGGGAGTAGCGACTAGCGTTATAACTCGTTAGGCGACCGAAGATCTAAAAGATGAAGTAATAACTTGTCATAACTAGCTATATTACATAGGGAGTGTAACAACAAAATTTCACCATCAATATATACAAGTTCAATTGATCCATCCAAACATGAAAAGGCCAAAACAAAATCAATTTTCTTTTATGAAGGATAAGAAGAGAGCAAATAAGGAGGAATACAAGAAGAATCTCTCCAAACCCTAGAATGTAACCTAAGAACTTCTTGAGCTCTATCCTTGGTCTTTAAACTACTATTCACTTGAAGCACCAAACACAACTTTGACACAACTCCCACTTGCAACATTTCTTGAAGAACCCTAGAATTCGCCGAAAATTTCGAAATAGAAGAAAGAATCCGCACTGCTCTATCACTTGCCACTTGAGAAACCCTAAGAATTTTCTTGGAAACAATGGCGACTCCAGCCCCATGGCTCGATAACTCAGCTCGGCCCTCGGCGCAGCTGCAAAGTTGGTGTAGAATTGCTAAGATCAATTCACATGATCTTCTTTCATTTGTGTCAAGAAGTAGCTCAATTAGGGTTGAAACTGCTCCAACTTCAATTGCTTTGATTCTATTTCTCCCCCATGGACAAAGTTCCACTAGTAATTTAAGTGCAGCCTTGGTAGCTTGTTGTGATATTTTGATTTTCAAAACAGATAATATTTCTTTAAAATATTCTTGTTTTACACCAATTAAAAACCCTGGATCAGCTACATTGAGAGCTGATTTTAATAGGGTTATTGCATAGGCTCGAGATTGGTAATTCCCACATTTCAAGAAATGCAATAAAGAATCCAAGAAAAGTTCATCTTGAGAGATGATCTTTTTTAAATCTTCATTAGAGGGATTAAGATTGAAGAGAATATCCAATGCTTCATCACTTGCCTCAGTGAACTCCAGTGACGTATGCAGAATTTTTCGCGAAACGATGTCAGATGACACATGCTTTGAATCTTCAACAAAAGCCATATCTTTCTTCTTTATAATTGAAGCTAAGAAATCTATAACCCAAACTGATTCTAAACACTTCTTGTTGCTCTCACTTGAATGGGCAATGGATCTAAGTTTCCTCAAGCAAGAAAGTTGCATTTCTTGGGATTCCATAGCTTGTTTAAGGAGTTTTAAAACATGGATTTTTGTTACTTGAGGCTTTGGATTTGGAATTGGCTCAATACCATTTGAAGAATTCATGATGCACCAAGATTGGATCAGACGGCGGAGAGTGTGGTTAGGGGTAAGATCAATAGTCAACAACTCTTGTTTTGTGACTGGACAAGTTGTGTTCTTGAATTTGATTAACCATTTCTCTATGTTTTCTCTATCATAGGTTATTCCACTTGATGTTGTGACTGGATCCCTCATCAGTTGCATTGAGATTGGGCAAAGAAAATAGTTAGGAACTTCAACTTCTGTCATCTTTTTTAGTTTCACCGTCAAGAGGTTTCAGGTTCGAACCTTTAGGAATGAAGAACTTATTGGTATAGTACAATTTATTTCCTTAGTGAACTTACTCAACACGAATCTGAATTAGCTGATCAATAGATTTCAAGAAAAGGCTAAGAGATAATATTGCGTATCTTTTCAAGTAATGGACCAGAGTTTTTTTTAGGGGAGAAGGAAAAGAATATCGTAAAAGGGCTTCTCGAAAAAGTAAAAAAGAAGGCATTCGATAGGTTGACCACTATCTCATAGGTATTCTAGTGATAAAACCGACGACTACACGATTCTATACCAAGTCAACAGAGTTTTAATGGTAATAAAGTGGAGTTTTTAAGAGGTTGAAGGAATTGAAATGTTGGTGATGATTTTTGTGGAAAAACAAGAGAAGGGTTGTTATATATATATACTTGTAAAGAGAAGTAAAGGGAGGTGCATGCAATTATAAGATGAACATTGATAAAGGAGAGAAGTCAACACGGAAATTCAGAAGAGAGAGAGAGAGATAAAGTTAATTAGAACAAGGAGAAAGGGGTTCTTAATGGACTTTTCCCAAGATTTTGGAAAATTTAAATTTTAAAATATTTAGAAGAAGTATGAATTTGACAAAAGGGAACAATAAGAGTTCATATTCTAATAGGGGATTTTTTTATTGAAAAATACACTCGCCACGTGAGGCAGTTAAATAATGACAGGTGTCGGCAAATTATAGAATGCTAGAAGGATGACGTGGAAATTATGGTCGAGGTTAAGCATAGGGGTGTCAATGGATATTTAAAATCGACTAAACTGACCAAACTGTTTCGTATCAAACCAATTTTTAGGTTTCTTTCAACAAAACTGTAGGTTTTTATATAAATTTTTAATCGTACTGATAGTTAGGGTAGATTTTTTATTTTATGAAAATAAATCGAAAAAAATACTGAATCGTACCGAGTATAGTTGCATGTGAAAAATATATTTATATATCAAGTTTAAAAATAATAAAGGATTAAATTTCTCCTTAGGCCTTGGAATTATGAACACGATTACAAGTCAACAAGTAATTAAACTCAAATCCTAATCCCAACCTATTATGCTACTCACGTTAAAGCTAAACTATTTCCAGCATATTCTCTAGCAAGCCAAAAGGTATATATTCTAGCGATTATGAGTAGCAAACTACAATGTATTGAATCAGGGGCGGCCCTTCCATAATTAAGCAAGTAAAGCAACTGCTTTAGGCCCCAAATTTTTTGGGGCCCCATTTTTTGTTACACCTAACAGGCTGTGTTTAAGTTTTAAAAAAGGTTTTGTGAAGTGAAAAAGTTTGAGTTCTTTCTTTAACAAGTATTCTTTAACAAGTATAGAGAAGAAGGAATTGCAACTGATATGATTTCTGCCAAAAAAAAATTGCACTTGAAATGAAATCGACCTGAATTTCGTAAGAAACTTATGATATATAGGAAATAACAATTTGATGAGAATGTTGATAATATAATCTCAAAATCTTTCGAAGAGTACTTTGGGGTTGATTACTTTATACATGGTAGACAAGACTATTTTTTTCACTTCAAAATAGATTTGAACAATTCAAGGCATATGGAAATATTTTTGGTTTTCTATTTAGCTCTAAAAATTAAGATCACTAGATGATGAAAATTAGAAAAAATATTGCCTTAAAGTTGAATGTTCCTCAAAGCATAATAATCAATTCGATATTGAGGGTTTAGATTTATTTTCAGAATTAAAAATATTAAGAAAAATAATACAATTAGAAGATAACAGTTTAATTGATACACTTGGTCAAATAAAAAAATTTGATTCTTATTCCAATGCCTATAATACTTATGGAATAATGTTAATAACTCTTGTTTCTGTCGTTTCAGCAAAAAAAATTCAAATTTAAAATTGATAAAATCTCACCTAAGATCAACAACGTCTCAATAAAGGTTAAATGGATTAGCTTTATTGTCAATTAAGAAAGACTTATTAGAATTTATTGATTTTAAGAAAATTATTAATAACTTTGTATCTAAGAAATATAAAAAAATTAGACTTCAAATAAATAAATAATTTTTTTTTTAAAAAAGAAAAAGTTAAAGCCCCTCATAAAATTTGGCTTTAGGCCACAAACTCGTCGGGCCGCCCCTGTATTGAATATGTTTCTTTCGTATGATTTAGGTTTATCCTTTTGTATATTTTGATCTTCTATAGACTTTATTCTTGAGTCCCACCCTGGTTAATATCTTTTCCCTCGTGTGATTTATATTTTTTTTTTTTGGCTTTACTTAGTTTCTCTTACGTTGTTGTTGAGTGGTTGAAGGATCTATACTCTGACCATCTTTCATGTTTTCTTAATTCATCGCCCTTTAAATAGTAAAATGTACAGAGATCTTTGCTAAGTCCTATAGAAGTACGTATGTTATTGCATTCTACTTCTACTAGTGACTTTTACATGACATTTAAAAAAATACCGAAAATTAATCGAACCGCACCAACACCGAAGAGAAACCGACATGATTGAGACGGTATTGAAAAGTCTAATTTTGATTATACATAATAGAATAATTATAAAATAACTGGCCAAGCCGAACCATTAACGCCCCTAGACTTGAGCATGACAACACCGGCCATTACGCTTGGGGAATGATATATAGTATCTGAATACGATCGTAAAATGCATGAACAAATTCATGTATTCCCTAAACAAAAATATTTGGAATCTTGTCTCCTATTTTGAGAATTTTTCTTGGAGAAGATGAAGTAGAAAAGAGAACATGTGGAAAAACTCAAAGAGACGAGTTATTATTATTAACTAGATGGGGGATGAATTAATGCATGAGACACACAAATGGGAGGACCAAGGTAAGATACGTCGGTGTTGGTTTGTGTGCTCACGGTTGAGGTACCCCTTTTTCGACCTTTTGAATTGATCTACTGCTTTGAGAGGGAAAAAAATGATTAATTGCCTAGTATATTATTTTCTTCTTCCACTTTAATTGATTTTTTTTTCTTGCTGTTTTACATATATTAAAAAATTTATCTTTTAACATTAATTACCATTGAAATTGATCATATTAATCTTAATTTATTTATTGAAAATACGACAAACACTTCCAGGATTGTATGAGCCCGTGACGTTGTGGGCCAATTCCGGTTTGAACTGGTATTCGTAGATGGATCTATGAAAGAAAGGTTGTCGAGAAGTTGTGATAGTGGGATAGTGGATATGATAGGAGGGTTATTTCTGAGAAATATAATTGGAGGACGAAAAATGGAGCTACTAGGGAAGTTAGGAAAGCTATGATAAGCGGGAAAATATGGAGAATATGGTGGATCATCTGACACTATGACCGGGGCTTGGGTAGGGGTGGCATCTAGTAAGCTAGGTGGTGGCGGGGGTGGAGCCTTACCAGTGATCCAAGCCTGATACATGTCCGTCATGTATTGTCTTAACATCCTTACCTCTTCAACCAACCCAGTGTCTCATTCAAACAATTGCTTTTGAGCACCAGTATCAACCAACTCAATTTCGTTGTTGTCTACCATTGCCTTTCGACTTTAAGTTGTAGGGAGGAGTTACCAGTTTAGGAACCACAAACCAACCACACTTCTGCTATAATAAAGATAACAAAGAAGAACAAAATGAAGTCATCACGTTAGCGTTAGGGCATTTAACATAAGATAATCTCACATTATGTGTGATGCACCTAGTCACTGTTAACGGTTCTAAAATGACTTTGAAGGTACGAAGGTCATAAGGCATCATCCCAATTTCTTGTTCTAGCCTTCCTCTTTTCTTTCCTCTTTAACACTCCTTGGTTTGCTCTTTTTCTTTCCTCTCTTTTTCTTTCTGATTATCACTCTTTTCTTCCCTCTCATTTCTCACATCCCATAACTTCATCTTTTCTTTTTCTTTTTCTTTTTCTTTTTCTTTTTTAATTTAAAAATAATTCGATCGAACCTGATGTAGATTGCGTACATATCAGGTTTCACTTGAATCGGACCAAGCGTACTTCTGGAAAAGTAATGGAAAAAATCTAAAAAAATTTCAAAAATACAAAATAGGTAATAGGGTAACAAAATAACTCAACAAACTCAACTTGACTACGACAGACTCTAACACCATCTAAAAGACTAAATACTATTGGATAAGACTAAAGTAAAAGACAACATGAATGACAGATTCAAAACATAAAAAGTATCCTCAAACAAGCTCCCGAATGCGACGGTCCTAGCTGGGATGGTCCTGGGGTATCTGTCATGCTCAAGATCTGGTAAGTGGATCCATACCTGTATGAGAAAGATAAGACCATATAGAGTTAAAAACTTAGGACACTGTGCGAGACAATAACACTTCCTATTGGACATATGCAAGACATGATTGAGATTATTTTTGCAAAATGGCCTACGTGACCAAAAGGTGGCTAGAAGTGCAAACTCAGATAGGTCAACCTCTAGGACATGGAAAAACATCTCGTAAAGGCCTATACGGCCGCAAAATCTTAGGAATCATAGTTCTCAAAATTACTTTGCAAAAATGACCACTTTGCATAAATGGTCGATGCGGTCAAGAATGGCTAAGCATGAAAATATAACAAGAATGGACCTTAAACATAGAGGACACCTTGTTGTGGACTTAGGACTAAGACATGTGTCACTGAACCACTTTTGCAAAAATGACCTCATTTGCAAGAACGACCGATATGGCCAAAAGCGGCTAGACATGCAAATTCAACAAGAACGGGCCTTAAAGTAAGGAGACAGCTAATTATAGATTCAAGACTCTCCAAACACGGTTCAACGAGTCACTTTGTAAAAATAGCCCTATTTTGCAAAAAAGACCGATGTGGCCAAAAGTGACTAGACACGCAAGATTTGGCTACGACCCCCGAAGCCAAAAACTTAAGACTCACTAGGAAGACCGGACCCTATGTGGGCTGCCTATGTATCCCGCCCGAAAGACGAAGATCATAGAGTCAACCACTAACCCTTGTATTACGAGCCCGTTTGGACATAAGAATGATTTCACCTTTTTTCGAAAAATTTTCACTTTTTTCCGAAATCAGTGTTTGGCCATAAAATTTTCAATTTTCAGTTGAAAGATGAATTTGGAATATTTCGAAAATTTGAAAAACTCCGAAAAGCTATTTTTCAAAATTTTCACTCAGATCACTCACAAAAATTTAAAAATAACCCAAAATTATATTCTTATCCAAACACAACTGTTATTTTTAAATACCATTTTCACTTGAAAAAATTTCTACTTTTTTTTTTGAAATTTTACAATTTTTATGTCCAAACGCCCAGTAAGATAGGTTGCCTATATTACACCCTTTAGAATGCGGCATTTCTCGGAAGCAACACGAACATTAATGTTATGTTGAACGGGTTGCCCTTAGTATATTCTTTGTATCTTTCCTTAATTAATAAACAAACGTGAAAATACAAGCGGCCATGCTTGATGCTGACAGAGGCTGATAGGCCTATGTGGTC